GCTATAGCGCTGCACAGCAAAAACGCATAAAAACGCATAAAAATCCAAGTATGCAAATGTTCATTTATGGATGAGGGCGGTCGTTCACGGCAAAACGCATTTTTCGTAAAGTTAAGTATTCTGATTTTTTCGGTAAGGTTGAATATTTCTCACGCCCACCTGAAGGGAATTTCGCCTCCAAGCAGAATTAAGACCACACTTGAAAGTAAAATATCCCAACGAATTTTCAGCCCCGCACCTTATGCGGTAAGCGAAATATCGAAATATACTTCCACACACACGCACACACACACAGACACACACAAACACATACACACATACACACACAGACGACCGCTCGACAGTATGCATTTTTGCTGGCTATAGCACTGCAAAACAAAAAAGCATAAAAAACGGTCCGTTGTGCTAAACCTTTTTCAAAATGTAACTTGCTGTTTGTCGGAAAGTGTTATTAGGTGCTTGGTGTACTTTAACTCCGAGTTAGCAACCTCTGCTTGTAATTCAACTGTGAATTAGCAAGTGGCCTGGTAAACTGTTTTCCAGATTTCTTTAGATCTCTTTTTTTTGAGAAGCAAAATGGTTTTCGTTTACTTAGTTGCTAAATAGCGTTTTCAGTGATCATCAGAACTGAATTGAACACCGTGATTCTTCCGACTGTCCAAACTTTAAAGTTAATAAAAAACTAAGAAAATAGATGCAAGCATGGCAACTCGAAAAATGCTTCGAAGTGATATCTAAACGGAATCCCATAAAAGTCTTATACTTGCTGTACTGATCACAAATAATGATAAACCTGTCCAGTGAAGTGCATTGTAGTCTGCTTGCAGATAGAACAAAAATCCGAACGGCTGGCTAATTTAAAATCGCTACTTTTTGCAGATCTCAGCGAACGTGTATCTGATAGCTCTAACGACAGCGGACAGCGTATTCCTACTAGGTTTATTGCTAATATTATTCAAACTTGACTTTACCGCATATCATTTTTGCGTTATCATCGAATACATCCTGTCCACATCCTCTTACATCAGCAGCTGGTCTATTGCTGCGCTCACTATCGAACGCTTCCTGGCTATTGCCTATCCGTTAAAACATGTCATGGTTTCTTTTATTATGTTCACTTTTCCAAACATTGGCTGTCTCTATGTACAGTCGTTTAACGTTCTAGAACAGCTTCTGCCCACACATTGCTTGAATGATGATATGCCCTTGGGCATAATTATTAAATCGTACTTAAGTGGCGTTTTATTATTCATAAAAAAAAAATCGTGGACGCAGGTCTGAAGAAAATTCAAGCAGTCCTGAGAAGCAAAACTCCACCCATTACCTTCACTTCCTTTTTCACTGCCTCTGACATGCTTTCCACCTCTCCCCTCCTCTCCCTTCCAAACAAAATTTTACTCGTTACTCTGGGTTGGACTTTCATCACTGCCGAACCAAAAAGAACAAGGCAAAAACTCAGAAGGCTGACAGAAAAACTGTTATCCTGACATAGTTCACAGAAAACAAGAATTTTCAGTACGGTCATGTGGATCGGTGGAAGGTGATGCTGTTTTGGCTGCCGGTGCCTTTCGCCTTCAATTTGATTCAGTTCATATCCCTAATTCCATACAATGATCGAAATGATCCGCATTATCCAAATATACGCAAGTGTGTGCCATATGATGGCAGCGTTCAGGTAAGCTTGTACTGCAGGACGCAGTTCAAAGATTAAATAAAAATTTTTGCACCGGCTGTTTTTGAAAATCTGTCCTGTAAGAAGTAAGTATCTAAATTTTTGTCATGAAAATATTTGTAAGTAAATTAAATGCTGGTAAAAATCAACAGCGCCTGGAAATTGGTGCGATTATGCGTTTTAAGAAAAGTTATTGCACGCAAACAGAATACGCAGTTTTGCTGGAGATGGTTTCATTTTTTATGCTTCCGCCTCCTGAGTCTTCCAGTACATGTTAAGCTCCACTCTCAAGTAGTGATACCAGCTGTTGTTTAGAGGGGCGAGCATTTACCGAATTTTCACAAAGCGAGCATTTAGCGAAAAAACGACCGGATTTCATGCAAAAAACCGTAATCATGCACCCGAATGTCCGTGCGGCTCTATAATGCA